ACAGGGCAGTCATTTCATCAGCATTGGTTGGGGTAGGCAGGTTCTTCTTCTCCTCAGCTTTGTCTTTCTCCTTCTTTTCCTCAGTAGCAGGGATTGACTTCATCTTTCCTTCCTCATCAGCATCCTTCTCTTTCTCTTCTTCAACAACTGCCATCAAGGCCAGATTCTCTTCATCATCAGAATCATCCATCCAGTGATCCTTTTCAGCCATGAGGGCACTCTTCTCACTGCTTTCTTCCATTGCCAGCAACATCTTCTTCTTGTTCAGATTCATCTTCTGCTTATAATATTCAGCATCCTTCCTCCTCTTTGGCATCCTGCAATCCTTCATCAGATGTCCAGTCTTCCCACAATTGAAGCACTTTGGAGCATCCTCAGCATTTCCATTCTCAGAAGAATCAAAAGATCACTCTTTTCTTTTGTTGTTGCTGGAAGAGGACTTGCGGAGCCTGTTGTTTGAGGGGTTCTTCTTCTTCTGCATTTGGTTGTTGAACCTGGAGGTAAGAAGGGCTATCTGCTTCTGAAAATCACGCAGCTCATCATCATCAGACTCATCCCAAAAACCGATGTCACTATCAGCACTTTCACTTTCATCAGCTATCATCTTATCTTTCTTGGAACCAGACTTTGATGGCTTGTCAAGCATTAGGGCAAGGGTGTCAGCTAGCTTGTCCACAGCTCCCTTCCCCTTGTCAGCTGTCACAGTAGCGACCACGAAGTCAGAAAAATCTTCTGCATACTGGTCAAGTGTATTGTACACAGCATGGATGTCCATTTCATCAAGGTCTTTCGTGTGCCTTATCTGTGAACTCAGCTTCTTCCAGTCAGCTCCAAGAGAAGATAGAAATCTCACGTTCAACTCCATGTTTGACTTGTGCACGCCAATTTTCCTCATCTCATTTATCAGCTGCAGAAATCTCAGGTAGGTATCTTCAAGTGATTCTCCAAGCTTGGCTTTGAACGAGTCATAAGCAGTGAATGTGCTAGCTTTCTTCGCTTTTACTCCGATCTCAGTGCCTTGCATGATCTTGAAGATCTCATCCCACATCTCTTTTGCTGTTGACATGCTGTCAATCTGCATGTAGATGTCGTTCGGGATGGCTTGCAGAAGATAAGTCTTAGCAATGAGATCTGCACGGAGTCTTGCTCTGTCCTCGTCATCATATTCATCTACCGTCTTTGGTCTCCATTCAATCTCCACCGGCGGGTTGTTCCCGTTGTCTCTCTCAACAGCTATCATCAATTGAGCGGGTCCGTTAGTGATAGAGTCAAGAAGACCTGAGGATTGGTCCTTGCTCTCCAGAAAGTTCAGAAATCGGTTCTTCCACACATTGTACTCACCCCTTCGTAGGATTGGGGGTCTTGTATCATTTCCAATTGATAGGGCATCCATTTTAGAATTGATCGGGCTGATCAGTTGATTGAATAGGTTCTGTTCTGTTGTTTGAGTCTTCAGTCAGATGTCTTTGTTCTGGTTGCAAAGTGTCTAAATCGGGCAAGGTGTTGAAGGATCGCTCAACTTCACTAAGATCGCTCAACTTTTATAAAAGATCGCTCAACTTTCAAAAGATCGCTCAACTTTTACAAAGATCGCTCAACTCTCAAAAGATTGCTCAACTTTATAAAAGATCGCTCAAGTTTACAAAAGATCGCTCAAGTTTACAAAAGATCGCTCAACTTTTACAAAAGATCGCTCAACTCTCAAAAAGATTGCTCAACTTGCTAAAAGATCGCTCAACAACAAAAAAAATGCTAAGTCCAAATCGCTCAATCTCCAAATCGCGCGCGGTCAAAATGGGGCAGACTTTGTTGCGTGAAATGAAGATCGCGCAGGGCAGTTGTTGCGCGAAGTATGAGATCGCGCAGGAGCTATGTTGGGATCGCTCAACCTGTGAAAATAATGGCAAAGTCCAAGTTCTCGCAAGATGTATTGCGTGAAGATGAAATCGCGCAGGAGGCTTCTGAAGATGGCGCAAGTCCAGATCGCGCAGGGAGTGTTGCGCGAAGTCTGAAAATCACGCAGAAGGCACTTTGCGCGAACCTGTTCTTCGTTCCAACGAGTTGCGCTAAAATGCAGGATCGCTCAAATCTGGCTTAACCTGTACGCCGAGTTTCAGATCGAGATTTTCTCCAGGAATGATCCTAGCAACAGTAGAAACCTTTTCCTTCAAGCCATTTCCTGCAAAAACAACAATAAAAATAGAACAGAAGATCGCTCAAGTGCGAAACTTCAACGATGAAGAATCGCGCAGGAGTGTTTTTCAGCGTTCAATCGATCGATCAGCTCCGGCTCTGATACCAGATGTTAGGTCCCTGTTTTCTAGTCTATAATGTATATGTATGGAAGATAGATCTGTGTATGAAGCTTTCCTCCCTCAGAAATATTCCCTGCGCATAGAATAGAGCCTACGGAAGTTTTACGCTAACATTCTCCACCATCTTTGTGTAAACTTTCTGGCTATCAATGGAAAGCTTCTTCTACTCCTATTAATCAGATCTTATACATTATAGAATAGAAATAGGGACCAACAACTATTATATCACACTTCTAAATCTCTTCATTGACACTCTTTTACAAAATAAAATGCACTTCTATTATGTGCATTTAAGTATATATCAAAGTGCACCAAAATTTCACACTTTTCTAATATTTTACATTGACACTTTTTACTAAATGAAATGCACTTTTCTTCTGAAAGCATCATAATTTTCATTATGGTAGGGCCTCTTGGTGTCACTTTTATCTGCAAAACAAAGTACAATATAAACTAATGAATAGTGCATGAATTAAATTTGACAAGTGCATTAAAATTTAGATACAATTTATCATTATTATCTTATTAGCAGTTAATAGATAACTATTACGAAATAGTTCGACATTAAACATGTTAAATGCATCATATGACAATGTAAATGCACTAAACTACTAGTGAAATCTATCAATCTAAAAAATATGTTAATACAAACCCATATATCTAAAGATATGCAACAATAATATGAAAAAGTGCAAAAGAAATACATACAGTTGCATCAAATTTAACAATCAACAGTTAAATGTATATAATACTGTCAATTACATAACCAACATAACATAAACCAACTTAGCATAACCGTGCACCATTGACAACGTAACCTGTAAAACCTACTTGAAGCAAATAAATTATAAATTGGATTAAAGAAGAACTTAAGGCGAAGAATAAAATTATAAATCTGCTTAAAGAAGAAAATCGAAACATGAAGGGAAACGAGTTTGTAAGAAGAAGACCGAGAATCAGGCGGAAATAGGAATGGAAATTGCCGGTGGTGAATAAGGTGGAGGTGAGAATGGAGGCTGTTGATGGTGATGGAGAAATAACGGAGAAGAAGATATGAAAGTAAATAGATTAGGGAAGAAATACCAAAATTAAAGAGATGATAATCTCACTTTGTTAAACGTATGGATTTAGTCATATAAGGAAAGATCCAAAATGACACATCTAACCTTATACGGATTAATTAATTATTGTTCATAATGCTTCAATCCAATGGCTCAAGATGATTCTTTTTTCCTCTCCTAAGATGATATTCTCACATGAACCTAAATATATATATATATATATATATATATATATATATATATATAGACACACACGTAGTATATGATATTCAGGCCACTGAGTCAGCCCGATTTCCTAAATCCTAGTGAGAACTGAGATTGTAATCAAAGCTCAGAGCCCCAAAGTTTTCAACCCGAGTATCTGATGGTCACCTGAAGCATCGGTTTAACTCCTAGCAATCGATCCAAAACCATGTTGAGAATACAAAGTTGGGAAAACGGAAACTAATAATCTCACCTTTTAGTGATATTCTTACAATAATCTCACCTAGCAGTAATTCAGGAATAATCATACATTTGCGCCTCATCTTCTTTCATCGGTCCCTGAATGGTTGATGGCCTGCTATTTCAGGTTATTTCCTTTTCTTTTCAAAACATTAATCATAAATCTCACATTTCACAAATCTTCTTCAAACGGTCCCACATATCATTTTTTCTTTTTTCTACCTAAAAGTTTTCTTGGTCTATTTTTATGTTCTTGACTCTTTTATTCCCTTTTTTCGCCTTCTTATTCTTATTTTTATGTTTTTCTATGTTTATGTATTTCATTTTTTCTTCGTTTTCTTCTTCCCATTTATTATTTATTTCCATTTTATGTATTGTTCGAATTAGTTCCCTTCTCATAAAATATCATTTTCTCACCTTGCTAGTTTTTTACTTTACTTTCTTTTTATTTCCACTTATTTATTTCATTCTTCCTTTTCTTACCTTGATTCGACCATCAATACATTTTCCTCTTTTCTAATAAAAAACAAAGAAAAAATATATAAAAGTAGCCGTGACAAAATTACAAAAAGTATAGGAATACATAAAAAGGAGAGATAATAAATATGGGGGGAAAGAACAAAAAGGATAAGCTATTGAAAATAAATTTTATATAAAAAAGACTCTAATGGTCATTCCCCCAAAAAAATTCTTATAGTAAATGGATAAAGGAATACATAAACAAGGTAAATAAATGAAAATAAATAGAAGAAGAAGAAATAGGGAAAATGGAAAGTAATAATCCAACCTTAGCTTTTAGCAGTCTTCTTACAATAGTCCCACATTTTCATTATTCAAGAATAATCCAACCTTTGTACCACATCTTCATTCGCTGGTCCCTGGCCAGTTAATGACTTGCTATTCCAAGTTATTTTCTTATCTTTGCAAAATGTTATCTTTGTGAAAGGTGAAATTTATGGTATAATGGTTTGCAAAGATAAGAAAATAACTTGGAATAGCAGGTCATCAACCGGTCAGGGACTAGTGAATGAAGATGATCTGTAAAAGTTGGATTATTCATGAATAACTAAAAAGTGGGACTATTGTAAGAAGACCGCTAAAAGGTTGGATTATTAGTTTCTATTTTTCCAAAGAAATAAAAGCATTATGATGATTTGTTTCATTAGTTTCTATTGTGTACAAAGTTTTGTACAAAGTTTTGTTTGTTTATTTATTACCCAAAAAAGGAAAAAAGAGAAAAAGGCGTTTCGGATGAGATGTTGTTGACGAGAGCGTGGAAATGGTACCAGAACTGCTTGGCAGTGCATCCAGTGAAGACGCAGGTCATCAGCTCCGGCTTGATCTGGGGTTTGGGCGACATTTCTGCTCAATCCGTCACTCACTACAATCTCCTTCCCTCCGTACGTCCTCTTTTTTGTTTCCACTCTATTTAATCTTAATTACCTCTACGGCTCTGCTCGACAAATGCTTTGATATTTGCAAGGAAAGAAAATGCCAGAATAAAATAAAACATTGATTTCAACCCACCAAGTTTATGTTTATTTTCTCAAATTCATTTTCTTTTCTTCCCCGGATCCATACATAGCCGAACTGTTTTTAATAAGTAATCATAAATAAATGAATATAAAAAAATCATTGATTCTTGTTTCTAGCGTATTTAGTGAATTACGCTAAATTTATGATTTGTTTTTTTCTTTTTAGCTTCTTTACCGCCATCTTTATGAATGGCATGCCTTTGTCTGCTCGAAAGAAATAAGGACGTTTGTTGAACAGCAAGCTTCTTGTTTGTAGATTTATTTGGCTTACCCCTTTCACAATAGAGAATCTTTTGCCTTGGTTCTTTCTTGTGGTATTCGAACGTTGGAGATTTGAAGAGGAGCAGCCAAGGGCCGACATGTTGAATGTTTATCGTGTTGTGCATCTAGTACACTTAATGACTAAGTTGTTTGGGGGGGGGGGGCAAGGCTCTATATGTTTTGTTGATTTATTGCCTTGCTCTTACATTGAGATGATTGAAAATGAAGTAAAGATGAAAAGTTATATAGCAGTGCATGATTTAATCTTAGACTAGCAAATTGAGCTAAACTAGTTAAAAAACCAATCTCTCTCCCCCCCCCCCCCCCCCCCAAATAACAAGCCCCCGTGCAGTAAACGTATGCCATCATGCATATCAGATGGTCAGTGCAGTGGTAATAACCTTCCACCTACCTTGGTGTCTTAACTCTTTATATGCTTTGAAGCAAACAGCAGAATGACATTATTCCCGCCTTTAAAAAAAAATGTTCTGGAACTTGATTTTGTGCTATTCCTTAGTTTTTATCAGATGCACTTCAACATTATGAGTCTTCATCACCTTGCTCATTCAATACTGTAAATTGATGTACATAAACTATATAGGATGAAAAGAAAGAATTTGAGATAAACTGGAGAAGAGTTGCTACAACAAGCTTGTTTGGCTTTGCATTTGTTGGGCCAATTGGTCATTTCTGGTTAGTTATTTCTCTCATACTTGAAGATCCCGTATATGCTAATTTTTATTCCAGATGAAAATATCTGTGTACAGAGGGTGAGTTTTCATTTCCTTCTTTTCAAAGAATGTCATATATAATTAAATTGTTACTTTATTACGATTGTATTAACAAGTTTTAACTGACCAACTTTATTTGTGCACTCATCTGACCTTTATCTTTTTACTTTCTGAATATTAAATTTTTGCAATCTCCGTATAGTCGCCTTGTCACGTGCCTACCAAAACACCCTTCTCCTGTATCCTAGCTTGGGATAAGATAAAGGTAGAGGTTGCTGTGCGACTGTGGTAGACGCGTGACGAGGTGAGTATATGAAAACTGGATTTATTTAATATTTAGGAAGTAAAAGGATGGTCAGATGAGTGCATAGAGAAAGTTAATCTGTTAAAGCTTGTTAATACATGCATAACAAAGATTGTATTAACATGTCAATTCATGTTATCCAACCCCAAACTCTTTTGGACTAAGGCTTGGATGTTGTTGTTGTCTCCTTATGTCAGTTTTTAAATGACATAACATCAAATAGAATATAATTTCATGATAAAGATAGTTACTTTTTCCTCCAAAGAAATAAGAGTTTTTGCCACTTTTAGTCCACCGACTTTTGTGTTAGTGACACCTTTGGTATTTGGCTATTAATTTTTTTCATTTTTAGTCCTTCGACTATTGTGTCGGCTATTGTGCGAGAGACACTTATAGTCCCAAACATCAAAATTTCCCACATTTAATCCGCATAGTATTGTCAAATTGACACTTTTAGTCCTTCCACTATGATTTTGGCACAATAAATAGAAGACTAAAAATGTCACTATGATAGTAGTTGAGGGACAAAAAATGTCACTTTTATGAAAATCGAAGGACAAATTATGGAAAAATTTAAAGACAGGTACTAAAAGGGTCTTTTGCACAATAGTCGAATGACTTTGAAAAGTTAAAACTTAAAAGTCGAGTACTAAAAGTGTCACTGCCATTATAATGGAAGAAATAACATGAAACAAAAGCTATTTTTTATAAAAAAAAAGGATTGTTTTGACCTATGAAACTATGAAAGTAATTGTATTGAGTCACTTTCTTTGTCTGAGTCATGTTCAATGAAGTTACATTTTTTTTGTTGGGGGGGAGGGGAAGCCTGCAAGGTACAATTGTTGAAAGTCCTAAAAATCATACTTATATTTATGAGAATAAAATTTATTTGTGGGTAAATCAAAATATATCATATTTACCCGTTGTGAAACAAATCGACAACACTCTGTCGAGTCTCTGATATTCCAAAATGTGAACAGGTATGAAGGGTTGGATCGATATATGAGGATGGGGCTCCAATGCCAGCCCAAATCATTGAGATTTGTGGGAACGAAAGTAGCACTTGACGGGATAATTTTTGGCCCATTGGATTTGTTTGTGTTCTTCAGCTACATGGGCTTCGCGAGTGGAAAGAGCACTGCTCAAGTCAAGGAAGACGTGAAGAGGGACTTCCTCCCTGCCTTAATCCTGGAGGGAGGAATATGGCCAATTGTCCAGGTGGCCAACTTCCGGTTTGTTCCGGTCAGGTATCAACTCTTGTATGTCAACTTCTTTTGCTTGCTGGACAGCTGCTTTCTCTCATGGATTGAACAGCAGCAAGATGCTGCTTGGAAACAGTGGTTCACTTCCTTTCTGCAAAAAAAAGACGAAGGCCAAGATTTGTGATATTAATCAATGCTAATCAATAGGGATACAGAACTATGTTCTTGTCCAGGTACTAAAAAGAAAAAAATGGCTTACTCGTATATTTTATCCTCCATATCCCACCACCACCACCCATTTGAGATTTGTGATAAATTTAGCAAGTTGGACAAATTTGAAGAGATGACAGGAAGCATCACGGCTGGCATTTGTAAACAAATAGCAGAATTGCTCTCAAGCTTTAATGCTTTATACTAGTATTGTTTTTCTCTTGATGATCATGAAAATTTTGAAACGCCAAACCCGGCGGGGCACTTGTGTGGGAGAACTTAAATCAAGTTTTGATCACATGTTGGTGGAGAGAGTGGTTCACGTGTTTGCATGGAACTTTACGTGGAATATCTCTTTATTGGCACCATCTTCCCATTAGCTGAGTAAGTTGCGCACCTTGGGACTGTTTTACGTATGACTTAATGGGATTTAGGCTATGTTTGCCACACCATTTCAGCTCATAATGGGCTGAAATATTATCAATTCAGTCAATAATTTGCTACACAAAGCTTAAGTGAGAAAAGTTGAGCTGAATTACAACGCTAGTGATCTAAACGTTTGTGTTCAGACGATTCTACATTGCGCTTGTTTTCCGGAAATAACCCCATGACCTTCTCTTCTACTTCGGTACATCTGTTGCACACCACCACTTTTTTACTGCATTTTTTTGCTTTATTTTATACTCAATTGCTATAATGTCACCCTCTATCAATTTTCACTACCAATTGCTTCTCGGAGTACAAATTTCACTTCCATCCCACTGCCCACAGCAATTTATGCTCTGTTCAAAATTTCTTTTGATGAATCTAGATACCCACGTCAACTCCATGAAATATAATTGAAAAAATATATTTTCAAGCCAATAATTGAAAAATATTCTAAATCAATATGTACGTACATGTTATATGTATTCCCCACATTAATCAAAATATCAAAATTTAGTTGTGTATCGATATTTATTTCTTTTTTACTCAAACTTTTCTGAACATTTCTATTTATATTTCTAGTATTGAAAAATTAAATAAAATGGGCTTTAATGTAATTTCATATTATCCGGTACTTTTCCAGTTCTTTTGCCAAACGGGTTTACTCTATTCAGCTAGTAATTCAGATCCAGCACTTGATAATTCAACTCCAGACAATAGTCTATGATTCAGACAATAGTCCCCAGTTCAGACATTAGTCTCCAGCTCCAGTTCGTTGTGCCAAACATAGCCTTAATCAAATCGATTTAATCATTCAGTTTATTTACGACTTAATTGAAAGCACGATTTAGTAAAAAATTAACTTAATCATTGAGCTATAATAGATGTTTAGATGTCGATTAAGGTCTTCTATTCAGCCAACCTTTTAAAATCGATTGTGGAATGGATGTAGGTTAATAAATAACATGGTTCATGAACGATGTAATGCAATAATAATAATATTAAATTAAATTGATTACTCGATGCGGTTTTGTTTATTCAAAATATGAAGTAAACATCCTTCTTAACAAAATCGCTTAATCCAGATACATAATTTAATCCAAATACAACTAAATAGAAAAATGTAAATGACCCCTTGGACCTCTTTGGGCTCTTTCTTATTATCATGTAAACAATTTTTTTAAAAAATGATCAAATAAATTAAATGAGCAATCAATTGAAATAAAAAGATCAAATAATTTAAAAATAAAAATAAAAATAAGAACAACTCTTGAATTTGTTTGGTCTTTTATAATGAAATTTATTTTTTGCATCCAAACCAACACACACATAAGGTGTTTGCTTTGCCGTTAGCAATCCAACCTAGGGGTGGACCCGATCTGAGTCCGAGATTGGACTGCCCAGGTACCTGAAACTAGCCTAGACCAAGAAAAAATAGCAGGTCAGGCTCGAGCCTCAACAAAATATTGCTAGAACCGAAAGTCTCAGCCCAAAACCAAGACCGAACCAGGCGGTCTCAGTCCCGAAACCAGGATTGGACCGACCCGGATCCACCCCTAATCCAACATAATCAAATGAACATTAACAGAATAATATTCGCCTCTCGTGTAGTTTTTTTTTTGTTGAGAACGTTTATGAAGATTTTTTTTCTCGAAATGTCATTAGCATTTAGGCATTTACTCCAGCTTCATGGTGTATTAATGTTGCGAACTTAGCGCCATGTGTTAACATTTAATTAACACCAGATAAAGATCAAGACATCAAGTTATTTGTACTCTGAGTTTAAGAAATAACAACAGCAACACAACAATAATATAGTAATAATAGTAGTAATAATAGTAATAACAACAACAATAACAATAATAATAACTTTTCTTATCCTAATAAAATACCATTTCTACAGCAGCGGCGGCAGCAACAACAACAACAATAGCACGGCGGCAACAATAGCAATAAACTAACAATGTGGAGTAATGATAACAATAAATGAAAATACTAACAATCAATCCCATACCACAAGCTACTGCATAGCAAAGTGCATGTATTTAATTTAAAGGTAGCCTCCCGGAATCCTCGTACACACTTTTACAATTTTACGACTAAATATCTTTAATTTATTCTGCCTTGGCCCTCTCTGAAAAACGAAAGAGGGTATGTTTGCTTATAAAGAAGACACATTTATAGAATGTGGCTGGGGAGGGAGGGCTCAACGGAACTTGGATAAGGTTGACTGGAACAATTCAAAGAAGGGCTGAGAGGTGGTTTGATCATCGGCTTTAATCTTTACGTGCGCTTTGGAAGATGCTGAATTAGCTACAAGCTCCACCAAATAGGTGCACAGGTGGTCATCCTGGGCGAAGAAGAAGAACTTGAAGGTAGGGGCTTGACCTCCTGAAGCTATACAGTTTATTGAGTTTCCTTGCATGTGCTTTATTAAGGACTGTGGAGTTGTTAGTGCGGCCACTCCTTGCGGATTCATCAATATCTCCTGCCCAATTCACACATACAGAAAGAGAGAATGACAAAAAACTCTTGTGATGTACAGGCGGTGGCTAATAAACAAAATCAAAGTTAAAAATCAGTGTATAATTTTCGAGGAGTTGTATTTTCAATTAAAGTTGGGGCAATTCTGAGGACTTGTATTTTCAATTAAACTCTTTTCAATTTTTGAGTCAAATTTGTTCTCCTGTAAGAAAGTGAAATCAATGTGGTTGATATTAAATTAGAAAGAGAAAACAATATCAAACACATAATCTTTTTCTGAAAGGGAGAAAGAAGAAAACTTGGCAAATATCAATCACTTTTGTTGGTATTAAAACAGATCAATCCCAAAGTCCCTTTTTTAATATGAACCACATCCATCAATAACTATTCTCATCCACACATAAACTTTTAAACTCTTCCACTTTCTTCCCTCTTTTGAGCCAAATGAAAGCTGAAACCTAGGCCTAATGCGAAATGCATGCAAAGAAACCACCCTTGACAGGACAAATGTGGTGTATCATTCGTGCGGAGAAGGAAAACAAAACATAATCTGAACCTGTGATATTGATATTGGAAGCTGTCGCCATTTCTGCTGAAAAACATTTGGAGCCAAAACAGCTTTAGGAGCAAGTGACACAGTGTGAGGTGAAAGAGGAGCAGGGCTTGCTATAGCCGGCAACTCTAAGCCTAGAAGGTCATCGATGGCAAAACTGGTAGAAGATGCAGTAGCGGTGGATTTGTAATTGTAATCTAAGGAAACAAGATCCGTACGGGACTCTGTAGCATTTGTATTATATTCTGAACCATAGTTGTTGCAAGGTGTTTTGCTTTCTTTTATTTCTGAAGTACTTGGTAGTAAATCCTTGTCATTTGCATTCACTAACTCAGCTGAAGCCACTGAAGCCATATTATCAGTGGGCTCTTCCGCAATAGACAAATGCTCAAGTTCTTCTGAGAAGGCAAATGGCCCACTATGTTCCTTGTCAGTAAACATGTACGAGGGCTGCAAAGTTTTCAGTTGTTAGAACACTTCTATAAAGTACTGTTAAGATGTGCTCTTGTTGACGGTTATACTAAAAAGCAGTATAGCTTTGATAATATGGAACCTGTTTAACAAGGGTGATTTGGCTCACATGATTGAAACTGCTAAATTTTTGCAAAGAAAAAGTGTTTGGCAACACCTTGAGCCAAATAAAAAAGTCAAAGCTACTCATTCTGCAATATAAGACTACCTAAAAGAGCCATAGTTACAAAGTGCTCTTTAATTGGAACTTATGTATATGCAGTCCTCTCAAAAGCACTCTTGGAAGAAACCTATCAGGTCTTCAAGTGCTTCTTTCAAAAGCACTTTTGAGTTTTGAGTGCCAAGTTAGTTTTTAAAAGAACTTTTCTAAATGTTGTCAAAGTATAAACTTTACATGTAAAAGCACTTTGGACCCATTACAAGCACTTTAGAGAATGTCTACAAGCACATCCAAACAGGCTCTAATTAAGGCTAGCTTCAACGTTTTTTCATCGATAGTTACCAGGTGTTTTGCTTCTCTCACAAATTACAATAAGTAGAAAATCATACTAAGCCTTAAGATGAGCATACTATTCTTAATTCTTATTGAATAAATCGGGTCGTGATAAAAAATCAAGGATCGATAATCACCACAAAAGTATTCCTGATAATAGAAACCAGAAAACAGGCACCAGTATTACCTTCTGATATACAACAGAGAGACTGTTAAATTCATCAAAAATGCGATCTTTGATTTCACTACTCTGTGTATCGGCAAAAACCGAAACAGCTTGCTTTGGAGGATTCACCACACGTTCTGCCAGAGAAACATTGTACTGAAGGAGTCTATAGTAGAACAAAGCCCTATCATGAACATCCTACAAATTCAAAGACCGAGCTCAATTAGTTGGGATTAAGGAGCTGATGATGGTGAGCATAGTTAAACTTGGTCTAACCCACCCAAAAGGATACTCAAGAGGTGTGATGTACTGACGTTGGCCTCACATTTATTTAAGTATTTGTATAATAGACTTAAACCCTGCTTATATCATTATATGCTCAACTTAAACCTAGTAGATAACTGATCCCTCAGCCCAAGCCGGAAAGATACCTGAAAAAATGGACCCCAACTGAGCTCTTAGGGAGATATCCTACGTGGCACACTTTCATTGGCTAAGACATATGATCATCGTCCAAACAGTGTGTATCATACTTCCTGGAACACCCACATTTAAAGTCTCCTTACCCTTACTCATATTATTATACTATGTTAAATTGGGCATACATGGCCATCCTCGAGAGGTGTATATAGTTATATACTAGAGTACTAGACTAAAGCCTAGTTGACAACTAATGTAGGAAACTCAACAATAACAATGGGGGCAGTTTTGTAAATAATAAAGACAAGACCTGGAAAAATACAACTACTCAAGTACAGACCTGATGAAAATCACTAATGCCAGCCGCCAATGCAGCACCCAAAGCCATCCGTGTCTCTGGTGGTCGTCTTAGGAAACATTTCATTACTGCTGTTAGTAAATGTAAGCGGACCTGCATATTTACAATGTGTTGAATACTGTAAACACAGTAATAAAACAGACTGCTTGAAAACGTCTTAAGCAAACCTGCTTAGTACATATGGCTTCATTACTGTAAATACCATTTTTTAATACTCCCGATGAATCTAGTCAATTAAGATTTATCTTAAAAA